AATGCTGGCGCTGTTTCCGAGACAATCTCCTTCGATTCCGGTATCATCGTCACAACCAAATTCAAGCTAGCAAATCCCTAAAAAGTGGTATATCTACTCGACATCTGGCCTCTTTGATCAAGTATAAATTATTTGGTTAGTTAAGGTCATATGTCAACCTCAAAGCTTGTGAGTGTGTCTGTCTCTGTATGTATATGTGTCTGTTTGTTTTCGCTTATACACGAAACCCGCAGTTTTCTTGACTCGCTAGCTTGAATTTTGTTGTCACGATGATACCGTGCTCCGATGAAATTCGTCAAATGACGCACGAAAGCTTAGCACCTTTTCACCGGAATCGAAAGAGGATGCCCCGGAAACCACGTCAGCATGAATCTTCCAGTAAAGTTAAACGAGAGCTGGTTTAGAGGAATCCGCCATCGTCTTCTGGTGGAATCGACCTTCAATTCTCTTCACCCAACACTTTCACTCAAAATGGAAGTGAGCTCAACAATTATGAAACAAGAGATTCGTCGAAACGCAACTTTTCTTCGTATATATATTGGGATGTCTGTTTGTGTGTAAAACAAATAGAAAGTTGCCTTTAAAACTTCATCCAAACAGGCCAGGCTCGGGCTTGCTTCTGACGAGGGACAATTGCATTTCGAGTTCGTCAGGAAGTGTTAATGGGACGATGGGATGCGGTACAAGTCTGCTTTTCACTCGACAATGGGCAGATTAAGGATGGTCCTGCTGCAGAAGAAGGCCAGTTGAAACTGGCCAACCAACTCGGTCCTTCTTACATCACTTGAGGTGGCTTAGCGCCTGATAATTAAGGAATTCCACTTGGCTTTGTTTCTTAAGAAGAGTTCTCAAATTGTACCGTCTCCAAGTCTCCAAACGGGACTCGAGCTTGCATCATCAATTTGCCGCACCAGTTGTCTGTCAGTAGCTTAAAGTGACGTAGGACGGACAATTGAAATTTCCCAAAATCGCATATTTTCGAGTAAAGTTCACTCAATCCTACTTCCAGAAATTGCACTCTCGCCTCAATTGGCTTCCTCCTCACCCCCAACGGGGACTCGAGTGTGTGGTTGCTGCGGAGTATCATTTCGACATGCTACCGTTTTGAGGTGGGCAAGTCGCAAGACGACTTTGCTTGAAGTGATGCAGCCTTTTTTGCCTCCCCCCCCTCCTTGACGTATACTCTGCAAACGTATGAAATCGGCATCGCAACATACAATTCACACAATACAACACGACACAACAGACACACAATACAACACGATAGCGAGTAGACAGCAAAACATACACAACACAAGACAACATGCAGGATGGTTACAGATGACGATGAACGTCGTGTTTACGACAAATCACCCTCTTTCACACCTTTCTGGTGTGAACTCGATCTTTCGGTCAACTGGCTCATCCCATCCGCCGCCTGCACCTACCGACAGACCTCTTCGACAGCGCCTATTGACAGTAAAGAAGAGTCGTCTCTATGGCACCCATCACAAGGCAACTTTCGTGTCCCAGAGAGGACCATCTCATCGCATCTTCACACCTTTGCCCATCGTAAATAGCCAAAACCGAATATTCACCCTCAAGGTATCACCAGGCCGCCAATGTGCACAACTCCTCCCATTTCATCCTTCCAACAGTAGATCGCGTTATCCGATTGCTCGTTTATTATTTCTTTTTATTATTCACTTACTTACTACTTGTTAGTAGTCTATTATTTGTATACTTTTAGTCAGACTCGTAAATGCCGGCTGAATAGGCTTTTGAGGATAGTTTTAAAGCCTCCTCTTTCAGTGTTTACCCATCAGCATTCTGATTGTGCAACGCTACACCGTCTACGCCTACCAACGAATTTCGCAGGCTTAAACAGCTCTTTAATGAGACGTATTCACCCAATTTCATTTAAGCTGATGAAGGACTGGTAGTAGACTTTTTCCCACAATCATATGAGTTGAGCTGACGTTTCCGTTCAATTTCACACAGCCTTGCTTTGCCAAAAGTTGTTTTCATCCTGGCACCATTCGACTGCAGTTTCGACCTCGCGTCGGTCTTATCAACACTCTCAGCGGGACTCGAACCGCGACAGTGCAGGGCGGTAGCTTGACACGCCAACCACTCGACTCCCGCTGAGGGTGTTGACAAGACCGACGCGAGGTCGAAACCGCAGTCGACTGGTGCCAGGATGAGAACAACTTTTGGCACAGCAAGGCTGTGTGAAATTGAATGGAAACGAAATTGGGTGAATACATGTCATTACACTGATTGAGTGGTATTCTCGAAACCCTACTCTCACACGAATATTAAACAGCGCTTTATTATGGCATGACTTTCCATTTGGAGGCAGTTGGTGAAATCGCCTTCGCGTAGCCCGAAGGAGGAGTACCGCGGAGGAGGATGGAGACTGCTGAATTGGGCAGACAAGTCCTCGGAGGTGGCCGGAATCGCGGCACTCCTTCTGCCGGTTCCAAATTCCCTCCAACCAACTGGAAGTGGAGAATCAAATCTTCAAGCAGCACTAAACTGTCATCAAACCGCCAACACAGCTCCAACACGAGCCCGAACCGAGCTGTCCCGACTGAGGCCGGAGCCTCTCTCGTTCGAGTCCTGGCTCGACAGTCGAAGAGGCCCGGCTGCCAAAGCAACAAGAAGCGGGCCGAGTTCCGACGCCTCTGCCGACGATCCCAGCTCTTCACTTGGCGGCGTCTCATCGCCACCAGCGGACCTGAGCTCGAGCCCCTTCGCCAGACGACGAGGCGGAGTCGGCCATGCCTACGGATGGCCACAAGTTCCGATAGGCCTTTCTGTTTCTGCCCGACGAAAAGATGTGCCCATCAACCAAGCTCGGCCGTCTGGCCGCAATCTGTCCCTCCTTTCGTGCATTTCAACCCCACACAACCAACCCTACCACGGCCCCATTTAGTACAGAAGAAGTGCACGCAGTTGGGAATCTGTGAGGCAGCTTTATTGCAGCCACAGGTGCAGCAACAATCAGCAGGTGCAGCGCTGCTTTCTTGCCCCAAACTGTTAATGAAGATGGATATATATACATAAATATGTGTGTGTGTGTGTGTGTGTGTGTGTGTGTGTATGTGTCCACATGAGGTGCACGGAGGGTGCACAACTATTTTGTCTCTATGCGACATGATGTTGATGAGAGTGGGGGCAGACGCAGACGAAAGCAGGTATGAACAAGTGAATCGGTCAGCCTCATGCTGCCAGCCGAGCCGAGTTGGACTGTCTGGGACTCGAACCCAGACAGAGACCATCTACGAAATGTATCCTTTCGAGACTGATGACGAGGCAAACTTGTACCAGCTCTGACACTTGAAAACACTACTTATATGCCTAGCAAGTAGGCGTATGTAGCACCGATATACTTTGAATGACCCACTCATGTCGGGCAATTTCGTAAAAAATGGCCCGACCCTATCGTGTCGGAGACCCAAAACAATGATGGTACAGACTCTTGTCTTCACACACAAAACTGTCGGCCCAATCCGGCCTCATCCTCTCGTCGGCATTCCCGCATTCAGACGTTCAGCCACTTTTGCCTCATTTGGCCACGCGACAGACACGACTTCCAATTGCTGCTGTGCCCATCTCAAGTGACCACTTTCAGTTTTGTCTGTGCGACTTTTGTCCGGTTGGGCGACGATGCGTGTTGCACGTTTGCGGAAGTTCTATTGCTGCGAGGGCAGATACGGTGGCTGAAAAGAAGAAGATACTTTTGCTTTATGCTGCCTCGGGCAATCTTTTTTCAAATGCATGTTTGCCAGATGTCGTGTCTGCTTCCAAATCGGTACCTCCAGCCTCAGAAGGTAAGAGATGAGGCGATTGAGCTGCAGAGCGCCGTGAATTTTGTTGGGACAGAAAAGAGCCCAATCGAATGAGGCAGTTTGCAAAAGGAAAACTTTTCATTTCGATTTGGGAAGGTCGTAAAAAGAGACACCTGACGACCGGTTGCGTTTGCATTATGCTCCGGCAAACCCGCCCCTCGTGAGTAGACATGCACAAGCAGACAATGACATACAAGTCTACCATTTGTGGAAGTATTCCGGAACGGACGGAGGCGGTCTAGCTCGACTGGTCAGCTGCAAGTTGGTCCAGAAGGTGCAAGAGCATGTTTGTTTATTTGCCAAGTTTTGGCTCTACGCAAAAGAGGGAAAATTGCTGTTGATATGCAACGCTACAGTGCGTTAGAGACGAAGACAACAAGCACAAATTGCCATGAGGAATTCAGGCGAATATATTCAGCGAATGGAGACTACGATCAAATAAAAGTAAGCATCAGATGCGAACAAATAATCAACAAAAACGTCGAAAACCTAATCAAAAGGATATCAACACAAACACTTTTGAGTTGACCATCGTCGAGCCTGAACCGAGTCTTCTGGCAGCCCCACTTTGACTGCACAACAACCAAGTTGTAGACATTTTGGTTTGACTGGAACCCTTTTCGGCGGCACAAACCTCAAGGCATTCCCTTTCGGACCCAGTGACATGCTCACGAAGCAAAAGTCTGTGGGAACTCTCAAAAGACACCATCAAATTAATCCAACTCAGATGACTCTGAATTATGGTGCATGTCCGGAATGGAAGTAGTGAATTGTATAAAAGCTGATCAGCTTTAGTTAAATTGTCTACTTACCGATTGTAAGTAGGTATTTATCGGAGCAAACCAAATAGGGTGAGTGAAGAGCTTATAGCATATCTCATGCTAGTCTCGAAAACCTTCATATAAACGGAAAATAATTGTAGGAAATTGCCCCATTCGTGGTGCATAACTTTGGAATCAGGTCGTCCTGGAGCAAACAAGTCTATCTCGCCACATATACATACAAATAATCACACACACT